CTGCTTTGATACAGCTCCAAGAGACACATGTGTGGCCTTATCTGCATCCTTGTGGGCAAGTGGGAGCTTGTAGGAATATTTTCTGTACCAGTTCACTCTCAGGTTTTTATTTCAAAGCAGAAGAAACTCTAAATATTGCTTGTAATGCAGGAATTATTGAAGGGGGAGAGCAGCATGTGACGTGGCTGTTGGTGCTTTTAACTTCGTCCCCGTGTTTTTGAGGGCTCTTGTTCTTAGCAAAAAGCATCTTTAGCTGAGAGTTTCCAGAGAAACCCCTTGGCGTTTCCATATTTTATTTATTCACAGCTTTTCCTCATTTAGAAGGACAGCAAAGCAACATTGGGATTGCCTGAGGGAAGCTCTTGCTAAGAACCTTTCCAAGAATCGTGAAAGATTTAAGTCCTTTCATGTCATCCTGCAGAGATATCTGCCCACCCTTCCCTCACCACCCCTTTTGCTCTGTTTGCCACTGAGTTTCCATCTGGATCAGAGGAACTCTGAGCTTCCCAACTTGTTGTTGGTCAGGGGTGAGAGATTTGGGTGAAAAAAGGGCAAAATGAGGTTAGTGGATCAAGGGCTCATCCCCTCTGCTGAGCCATGGGTCTGGGATTGGCTTTATCCTGTGTTCTCTCATTAACATTGTTTTGCTGGTATTTATTTAGATTTTAGTGGCCATTCCTGGATTTGAAGAAGTAGATTTTTCTGTTGGAAAATTCTAAGCAGGGCTTTTAAATATGGAATATTGGAACAGTCAGGCCTTGGAATCAGCTGCTCTCCTGTGCCATGGAGTGCATGGACCTGGGCAAGAGTGGCCACCAAACCCCAGGATTTCACCTCAGCCCCATTCCTGGAAGTGTCCAGAGCCAGGTTGGACAGAGCTCCTGGGATAGTGGAGGTGTCCCTGCCCATGGTGGAATGGATGAGCTTTAAGGTTGCTTCCAACCCAAACCATGCTGGGATTCATGTGGTGGAACCAACATCTCATTCTTAATACTGGAATTAAGCAGGTTCCTCTGGGTGGGGCTGAGTTACTACACTGAGGTTTTAAAACAGGTGAGGCTCCTCTTGGGAGTTTGTGCTTTACTGTAGTGGTAGAAATCAAAACAGAAGAATTGAGGGAAGAAAAAATGAAGGCTTCTGTTGTGGCAAAGTAAACTTTGTGAAGGAAATGCAGCTTAAACCATCTTGGTGCACGTTTTAAAAATACACGAGTGACACCATGAATATTTGAAGCTTTTGATCAGTGATGCAGAAATGAAAGGAGCAGCACATGCAACTGTGATTAATTATTGACAAAAGCCATTTCTTGCATGTGTGGAGCCTGTAGTGGGACGTGCAGGTTGAGTTCACTGGGATTCCAGGGCTGGGCAGTAATGCAAACAAGACCCCAGTTGATCAACTTCATCCATGTGGTTCTGCTTATTATGCAAATCTCTTCCAATGTGTTTGAATGCACATGTGGTGCTGGGGGGTTGCAGCTTCAGCAGAGGATTTTTGTGGGCTGCACAATTTGGGCTCTGCCTGCTCCACTTGGATGGATCCAGGGTTTCATGCTGTAGCTGTAAGTCAGTTTTCTCTATTTAGGAAAATAATCCCCAAACCTCTTTGTCATGTTCTCTCTGTGTTTGGCCTTTTCACCTTGACTTCTGTGGATCTTGGAATAAATCAGTTTTTCCTGAGATGTTCCCAGAAGCTGGATTGGGCAGAGGGTGCTTCCATGTCCGTGCCAGTGATGGCACACAAACTTCTCCCTGCAGAATCGACCAGGTGCTGTTCCATGCCATGTTCTGTGTTTAGCTGTGCTAATTCCTTCTGAACATGCCAGTGTAAAGGAATCTCATGGATCTCCCAATAGAAATGAGTTGGTTTTATTTTTTTAAAGGGCACTGGAAGACCTTATGTAAATGAATTGCAAATGGGGGATAATAGAAGTGGGAAATTTTAGTTTAAATTAGTTGGGTTGAGGTCAAGGTGTTTGGGTTTTTGGTGTGAGGGTTTTTTTTTTTTTTTGTTTGTTTGTTTGGGTTTTTTTTGAGGCCTGTGTTTTTGTTTGGTTTTTTGTTTGTTTTTTTAGCAGGCCTATTTTGTCAATAAAATGGAATTTCAACCATTCTCAAGTATTTTGGGCACTCAAAACCTGTGTGGGGGCAGGAACTGAGGGCTTTAGCAAGAAAGGGGAAGGTAGCTTTGTCAAGAGAATTTTATTTCTTACATTGCTAATTGGGACTAAAATGCTCATACTGCCCATATTGAGGGCCCTTGAGATCTGATGCAGTTTTGGAAGGTCCTGATGTGGAGTTTTGGTGCATTTTGATGAAGTAGGAGCAATAAATTTAAGTTCTTGGGCTGGGTCATCCTTCCTTTTCTGCAGCTGCCCACCTTCTGCTTTGTCTTCTTGCCTCTGTGCTTTTTGGAATTTTCATTGCCTCCCTGGTTTGTCCTTTTGGAAAGCACAAGTGTTCCAAAATAATATTTTAAGGTGTTTATTACAGAGAAAAGCGACAGGATTTGTGATGTTCTTGTTCCCCTTGTGCAGCTCCCCTTTGGCTTGGCAGGTTTTTTTGCAGTTCTCCAAGTCGGCAGCAGTGATTTGCTCACTCATCTTTTTTTAATCTTCCATGGTGATAAAATCCAGTGGTTCTCTCCTATGGAAGCTTGTTGACATTAGCAGGGAGCTCTCCCAGTTTGTTTCACACACCTAAACCCCCACGAGTCAGGGATAAGGCACTGATGGTTTCCCTTGACTCCTGAGAGTCTGGAGATGAGCTGGAGCCTCCTCATCCCCTTCAGCCTTCCCAAATCCACAGCAGCTCAAAGCAAACCATGAGAGCTGATAGTTTCCTCTTAGGACAGTGACATTTTACCCACTCTAAAGCTCCCCATTCCATTGCTGGGAAAACATTCCTCCCCACAGGAAGGCAGGAAAACATCCTAGACCAAGCTGTGGTCCCTTTGGAATGCCCCAGCCATGGGCAGCTCTTGCAGGCAGCGTTCCCAAATGGAATCTGCTGCTTGTCCTGTCCCCATCTCAAGTTCTTGTCACCTGGGTGTGGCACAGAAAGGTTTTCTTGAAGTGGGACTTCAGGCCATGGGACAGGAGCTGCATGACCACAGTGTCTTCTCTGGAATGCCAAAGGTTAACCCAATTTCACTCTGAGCCTTTGGTTTTCCTTCCCCTGCCAGTGAGTGTGGGAGGCAGCTCATACCTGTACCAAAATACTGATTATTTTCCATGTGTTCTCATGCAGGTACACACAGGGTTTATTCACAGCTGAATTGCAAAGGGATGTGTTAGATAAAACTGGAGAAGGTTTCCTAATTCCTGGCTCGGAGGTCTTTTTTTGGGCTATTGAGGCAAAAGCAATATATTTCATAGAGATAGACTGGAAAACACAAGTTTGCTTTGTGATTGTTTTTAGGTGGGTGCTGGGAAAGCTTGGCTGGTTTCTGGAGTCAGTGAGGGTCTCATTTGGAATAGGAAATTGCCTCCAATTTCTTTATTCTCCAGATGAAGACATCAAATTAAACAGCCTTCTCCTCCTGCATGGGAGGGGAAGCAGTGGCTGGCAGGACCCTGAGAGGCTTGTTCAAAAACAACATGCTCAGGTGTAACCTTGCAGCTGTTACCTCCTGTGGCCTCAGGGACTGGTTGGAGCACCAGGAATCTCAGTGCTGCTCCATTTCCATGGAACTGGAGCATCCTGTGCAGCACAGGCATTCGGCTGGTTTGTGTGGTTCTGCAGGGGTTAAATCAGCATCCACCCTGGATCTGTAACAGAAACATCACTGTCTGTTTGCTTATAGCTGACCAGACCTTTATGGAAGGAACAAAATGAGAAATGATTTTAAATACAGAAAAATGGAGCCTTATTTCTGTTCTTTGGTGTGGAATTGTCAGTGAGGCAGGAGCCAGGTGCAGCCCAAAGAGGTTAATTTCTGTGATAAACCTGCCTTTCTTCAAGGAATCAACCCCTGCCCCGAGTAGTTTTTAATTAATTTCATAATAAATGGCTCTGTGGTTTATTTCTGCCTAGACTATGCTACTGAAAAAATGGTGTGTTTGAGGAATAAAGAGAGATTTTCCCTGAGCAGGGCTGTCCCCACTGCCTCTGGCTGCTGCAGTTGCTGACATGAAGTGTGATGTGCAGCAGGAAATCACATGTTTCAGAGCCAGCAAATTTTCTTATTTACCTGGGTGGAGGAGTTACTGCAGATGGTGGCTGGCAGCTGCAGTGGGTGACATGCAATGTGACAAACCCAGGGCTTTTCCTGTGGGGAAGGAATGTGTTGCTGTGGAAGGGAAATGGCTTAACCAGGTTGGGAAAGCCTTTGCTCTAACTGGAGTGAGTTTGAGCTCTGTGGTGATGAGGGAGCACCTGCTGCTGGGAGCAGATCTGTGCAGAATGGGAATTTTTGGGATTCTTTATACAATTTCCTCAAGTCCCTAGTTTTTGTCATGTTGGACTGTCAGCCTCCCGAGAATCAATCAGACCTTTGGTCTCGTGTTGTATTTGCAGGGAAGCCCTGGCGATGGGAGGAATGATGAGTCTGACTCCATGTTCTCAGAAGGCTAATTTATTATTTTATGATACTATATTGTACTAAAGTATACTAAACTATACTATACTAAAGAATACAGAAAGGATACTTACAGAATGGTAAAAAGAGAATAATGAAAACTGGTGACACTTTTCAGAGAACTGATTGGCCATTGAGTGAAAACAACTCACAGCAGAATCCAATGGAACAATCACCTGTGGGTAAACAATCTCCAAACACATTCCACATGAGCACAACACAGGAGAAGCAACTGAGATAAGAATTGTTTTCCTTTTCTCTGAGGCTGCTCAGCTTCTGAGGAGAATGATTCTGGGCTAAGGGATTTTTCAGAGGATGTGAATGCCACAGTCTCGCGTTCCCGAAGCCGTGGCATGAAATTGTGTGCAGCAGAGCATGAAATGTCATTATGCTGATGTTGGGAATGTTCTCCTCTTCCACAGATGCCTTTGTAAACAGCCAGGAATGGACACTGAGCCGATCTGTACCCGAGCTGAAAGTGGTGAGTTCCTGTTTGCTCCTGTCTTGGGACGTCCTGGAGATGCCACACACGAGTGGGGATCTCTCGTGCTTCACTCCAGCTGCTGTTGGGGGAAAATGTGGAAAACAGTTCTAATGAGTAAAGAATTTGTCCTCTTCATACCTATTATAGACTCACAGAAGGGTTTGGAGTGGGAGGGACCTCAAAGCTCATCTCATTCCACCCCCTGCCATGGGCAGGGACACCTTCCACTCTCCCAGGCTGCTCCAAGCCCCCTCCAACCTGACCCGAACACCTCCAGGGCTGGGGTTACCTTTATGAAGATGATGTATATTCAATACTCATTTTACTCATACTTCAAAGGTCTCTCAGTATTTTATTGCTGTTTGAATTGTTCTGCTCCGTGAACCAGCTTCCAAGGGGGATCTTCTCAGCAGGGAAGTCTTCTGAGGGCAGTGGAAGTTAGCAGCTGACATGTAAAGCTCATTTTATCTCCCCATAATAAGTTTCCATTATTTCAAGGACCAAATGTCTGTTCTCCCTCTCTTTAAAGAATTTAAAGCTTTTCCAAAATCTGAGTTGACAATAATGTTTTGTGGAGGTGAGAGATTCTGCAAGGCCACACTTAACAGGATAAATGCACTTAGAGAGGCATTTTAATGGGAGTAGCATCCTCTCAACTACAGTTCTGTGGCTGCTTTGATTTTAGCAGTGCTCAAGGTGAGTACAAGAAAAATCTTGCAGTCAGTGGATGTAATTCCCTGGTGCAGGAGGGGTCACCAGCTTTTGTTAAACGGATGGTGTCTTTTGGAAGCCCCCAAATACCTCACACAGTGAAAAACGTGGAATTCAGGACTGGAAGGTGTTGTTTGGATAGGAGTCCAGCACTTTTAGCTGGCTTATCCTGGGTTTCCTTGCACATCTCTTCTCTGAGCCCTCCTGATTCACAGCACCCATCCAGAAAATTGGGAACTGTAGGTGAGAGCAGAGCTGCAGGCACTCCGTGTTGTGATTCAGAGCACAAACCATTGCTGAGCACCAGGTGATGGTCTCAGGTTGCATTTTTCTCTTGTGCCAGCCTGGCTGCATCATGTGAGTGCCTACCTTGGGTGTCCTGCCCCTGAAGCAGGGCTGGGAAAACAAATTTCAGCTGCAGAGAATTGATTTGCAGTGGTCAGCGTGCCACGAGAGCTGTCCAAGGGGAAAAGCACAACTGCTGCTGTTACAAAAATAATAATTTGATTATAGCACTGCAAATGGTGGAAGCCAGCAGCACCAGCTGTGCCTGTGGACTTGTGTTCCAGGAGGAAGGGTAAATTAGGAAGCCCAGCTGAAATCTGCTCTGCCTTTCCTGCACATCTGCCCTTGGGGAGGGCTTGGGGCCCTGAGTCACCTCTGTCATTCCCTCACTTCAGCCTCATCCCGGGTGCTCCTGGGGCTCAGGAACATAAGGGCCACGTTAAAGGGAGAGGTTGTCCTCCTGTATGGCCTGGGAGGTCCTTAAATTGATTGTTGTTATTTATTTTTGATTTATTTCTGGAGCGGCTGTTGTTGTACGCCTTGGGCTCTGCAGAATTTTAAAGGGAACAGAAACTGGCTCTGGGAGAGCAGAGAAAGCCCCCAGGGCTGCAATAAAGGAAGGAGGTATTTCTCACTGTGCCTTTGAGGAAAGAACACCAGGTTTTGCCTCCTTTCTTTAGCAGCACGAGGCTCGGTTTCCTTCCAGTGCTCAGAAGGACATTCCAGGCCACCTTGGAGGGGTTTGGAGCAACCTGGGATGGGAGGAGGGACCAGGGAGAGGTCCCTGCCCATGGCAGGGGGAGGAATGGGATGAGCTTTGAGGTCCCTTCCAGCCCAAACCAGCCTGGGATTGTATAATGGTTCCTGCTGATCCAGTACTTGGGTTTTACTTAAGGATTTTGATGCTTTTATTGTGGCCAAGAGCATGGTGATACCACTGCCTTTGGTGTTCCTGGCTCCTGTTTGTTCAAATATTAAATGAGGATGGTTAGGCAGAATAAACACGAGAGATTCCTGGATAAAATCACCAAATTTATTGCAAAAAAATATGCAAAGTGCAGTCAGGCTCCTCTCCTGGACAGCTTTAAAATGCCAAGTGCCACCAATACAGTTTATGATTTTTCCCAACAGGCTTTAGGAGGCGTGGGCAAAGTGGCTTGGGTTTGTTTTACAGCATGTCTGGCACATGGAAATAAATGATTCAGTGTTGCACAAGTCAGAACTGAAAAGAGCAGTGAGTTGTAGCTGAATTTTCTCCTCCCTGAACTGGGTTAGGGTGGTATTTTTGTTCCCTAACATGCTTGTCATAACTTGGTGCATTTCAGACATATCCATAAATAAATGGGGATGACTGGGATTGTTTGTGTATAAAGCAGGGGAGAGAGGAATATGACTGCTGTAAAAACAGGCTGGCATTTTTGTCATGCTGTGGGGGATCAGCCTTAAAGCAAATATTAATGCTGACAAAGAGAGAAACTGTATCAGAAGTCAGATTTTTTTTTCCCCCAGTGTAGAATTTATTGCTCCTACTTTGTAGGAATGTGTCAGAGAACCTGAAGTGCTGTCAAATGGTGTAACCTGGTGTGACCTTTGGGATATTAAAAAAAATTAATATATAAAATTGTGTTCTTGACTCTTTTGATGGCTTTCAAATATTGGGGTCTCTGGATAGAATAAGACATCCCAGCCATGAGATGTTGTGTCTGACTGGACCCCCAGGTTGATGCTTTTCTGTTCTCCCTGGCAGTTACAGTTTTGGCATGAGTGTAATAGAAAATAAAATTAATTTCCATCCACGCAAGGCTAATCACTTTAAGTGAAAGCTTCTCTGGAAAATTGTTGTCTTGGCCAAATGTGTAGACCATTAAAAATACAGTTCAGCTTTCACACACTAAAATAACTATTTTTCAGTGGTGAATCCTGAGCGGGGGGGACTTTGTACATTGTTGTAGGCAAAAAGAAGTGGGAAGGAATTTCTCCTTGGGAATGTTTGTGTGGAAGGGGAGATGGTGTCACTTTGATGAGAAGAGGTGCCAAGACCAAGCTGTTTACTCACAGGGCTCCCCCAGCTCTCAGTGGGTTTGTGGTGTGGGTGGGAGCAGACAAATGTACTGCAGCTCATGGGCATGCAGTGGAGGGAAAAGTCATTAATTGGAGAGGTTGCTTCATGTTCTGGGGGTGAGGGAAAAGTCATTAGTTGGAGAGGTTGCCTCATGTCCTGGGGGTGAGCGACACGTGTTGGAGATGTCGTTTTGTTCCTGTGACTCATCCCAGAATCCCTCCCTGCCCTGCTGCCCACGCTGTGGGATCAGCCCAAGGCAGGGGGGAGTTTGGGGTGCCAGCACGCGTGGCTGGGTCCCATCCAGCCATTTTTGATAAGGAGGGTGGTGTCCTGCCAGCTGGGGTTCAGGAGATGGGGCAGAGAATGTGCTGCTCCTTGCTGCTGCCGCGGCCCCTTTGGCAATCCCGGGCGGATCAGCAGAGTTCATCCTCTCTCCAGGGACCTTCTGTTCTGAACCTCTGGTGAGGGTCAAGTAAACAGGAGAGAGCAGAGCAGGCTGGGCTTGCTCCAAAGGGGGGAAGAAGTTTCCATCCCCTCCCTCCCCCAAGAAGGGAGCACAGTGTCCTCAGCTCTGTGCGCCCCTTCACAGCCACAAACCCCAAATCTCCTCAAGTCCTTTGGCATCTGAGCACCTCCAGGAGGAAAACTCTGTGAGGTTGGGCTGAAATATTTCCCTGGGAGGGCGGGGAGGACCTGGCAGTGTCCAAGGCCAGGCTGGGCAAGGCTTGGAGCACCTTGGAGTGGTGGAACAAGATGATCTCTCAGGTCCTTCCCACCCCGAAGCACTCTGCCCTTTATTTGATCCCGTGGCATATTTTGCTTGGGATGTTGCTCTGCGTGAAGATTTTGCTTGAAGATGCTGCTTTTTACAGGGCTGGATTGCAGCTGAGTGTTTTGTTGCTTGTGTTCCTTTCCGTGGCAGGGGATCGTGGGTAACCTGGCCAGTGGGAAGTCGGCGCTGGTGCACCGCTACCTGACCGGCACCTATGTCCAGGAGGAATCCCCTGAAGGTAGGTGCCTCCACAGCTCCCACTCCTCCTTTCCCCCCACAAACTACATCCTTGCTCATTTTGGATTACGCAGAAATGAATTGGCAAAAAAAAAAAATCCCGTGTGCTGCTTCAAAATGCATTTTGCTTTAACATTCTCCAGGCCGGGCTAAGTATGTACAATGTAATTGTGGATTTTCCATAACTTCTTTAAATACTTGGGCCCCCAGTGTGTGTGTCCATATGGGAATTAGTCCTGATGGAGAGGAGCTGACTGCTCTCAGTAGTGCTGCTGCTTTCACTTGGGCTGTAGAAAGCCACAATTAGTCTGTAGTGGTGGATTTCTGTACAATCAGGATGTTGGGAGAATAAAAATCTTCACTAGCCTAAACTTAAAGGTGTAACTTGCTTATTGTTTAATATGTTAAATATTTGGTCTTTTTTAAAAAAATGTTCTTATGGCATAGAAAATTAATTTGTACCCTGTAGTGTTTAACATTAATCCAAGTTTATAGCTTGAAATCAAAAATTATCACAGTACCTTATTAAGGTTTATCTTACACTAAATACTTTTTTGATTATTTTTCTTTATCTGTTCTCCTTATGAACTTTTAAATCCAACTCTGAGACACTGAATTTCTGGTTCCTTCTTTTCCTTACTGGCTGTTCCCTTCTTTGCAGATATGGATGCAGGTAACTATACATTGTCTTCATGGCAGCTCTGGTTTTGAAGGGCCAGATGGTGGTTTCTGTACTAGAGCGTTTTCCCCCTTGTTTTGTGTATCATTTTGAGTTGTTCCCTTTTGATTTCAAGTCTTTAGTGCATCTCACTGTTGTTGTCTCTTGCTGTAGTCGTCTCTTCAGCAGTAGTTTGTAGTTTCATGCATCTCTGATAACATTTGTTTCTAATTAACTCTTACCACAGGAAGCTGGTTTAGCTTGGTAGTTGACATTTTAACAGCCTGGAATTGCAGTTAAAATGGGAGGAGAGGGGAAGGGAGGGATGGACAAGGCTTTTCCTGTGGAATTGCATTAACACTGAGGCCCTGCAGTTTGTAAGTTTGCCCTGAATGCTTTTGCTGGTTTGTAGCTGGAGCTGACAGTAATAATTGATGGTAGCAATTGAGCCTGTGCACAGAAGTGTGTGTGGATCATGCTTCTGGATGCTGAGAGTGAGAAATGCTGACAGAGGGTGCAGTGGCACCGAGTGCAGCAAATCTTCAGCAAAAATCCCTGTCTTGACAGAGCTCTTCCCTCACTTCATGAACAGAGCATATTTGGTTTTGTTTTGGTTTTTTTTTTTTCCCCTTGGAAGATTCAAATCTCCTGACTGTTGACAGGGCTAGCCCTCCTCTCCTCCTAAAGGATGAATATTTTAGGTGACATTCCTTGGGATTGTTGCCATCTGTCCTCTTTGTCTTGAAGGATTTTTATTTACAGTGCTGGGGTGACGTTGTGACTGTTTTTCCTGCAAGGATTAGATGACAAAAGCAGTGTCAAATCATTTCTGTGCACATAAGTGTGGCTGACAAGCCTCACTAATGACACTGTTGCATTTCATTAACAGGAGGAAAACTGGAATAATTAAGAGCTCTGATTCGCCCTGTGAGGGATCAGGTCAAGGTTTCCAATCAAGTCAGCATTAAAGGAAATCCAACCCGTATAAATTACCCTCAGTAAACATCTGCAGTGGGGATTTGGTAGGGTTTTACCTCTCTGTCAGAGAATCACAGAGTGATTTTGGGTGAGAAGGGCCTTTAAAGCTCACCCTGTTCCACCCCTGCCAGGGGCAGGGACACCTTCCACTATCCCAGGGTGCTCCAAGCCCCCTCCAACCTGGTCCTGAGCACTTATAGGTCCCTCAAAGAAGTCCCTAGAAAAGTGTAATCCCTCCTGTTGGAGGCCCTTGTGGATCCTCCCCTCTCTCCTTTTCTGAGGGACTATAAATGTGTCAGATTGTTAAATTGGATAAAGACGAGGATTCATGTCAGATGTGAAGGTGTCAGCTGGTTGATCAGCTAAGGAAAACCCGAGTTTACTGGCTTGGAATGGCTTCCTAGCAGCTAAATTTAACAGGCATCATAAAATCAGTGCCTAATGGGTGAGGTGATGGATATTTGCTTCACGTGAAAGTGGTGATTAGGGCCAGGGACTGCAATTTCTGCTCGCCTCTGCCTTCTAAATGGCTGCAATTACCAGGAAACCTGCCCTGCATCAGCCCAGTGCCACATCTCCTGCAGGCCTCGGGGGCTCCACATCCCAGGAAATGAATTTTGGCTGTGTAAAGATGGCTGCAGGTTTCCTTTGGCTCTCGAAGTGAGAGATCTCTCTCTCTGCCCATCACCACCTCCCCAGCAGGAGGAGGAACCCTGCGCTTCACCGAGGAGTTTTCTCTCACTGCCTGCCCCAGTTTTTGTTGCTGCTCAGAACTTTTCAGTCCCTCACGTGTTTGCAACTTGCAAACCTTTGTTTTCTCAAAGAATAAGTTTTTATTACGAAGAAAAACGGCCTTGAGAGTCTTCCTTTGCATATTTAGCATACACTCAGCTGTGCTGCTGAGTGACACATTTTTAATCAGATGTAAGAAAAGCAGCAATATGTTACCCTGTTGTAAGGGGGGAATTTCAGTACTCTGGGACTTTTCAGTTTTTTTCTGTGATGATACAAGAAGGAATTTGTTATAGATATATGTTTTAATATTGGTTTTTCACAAATATTGAAATGGATTTTATATGTGTGATGTTAAAGCAACTTTGTTATGAAGATACAGTTTTTATTTCTGTTGTTAATTAAGCTTAGCCATAGTAGTGAAATAGCTGATATAAGTGTGCTTGTGTTAAAATAATTACTTAGAGAAGATAACATCTAATAAACATATGAAGAAGACACCTACTACAAATATGCCAGCTATCAACACTCAGTGTCTGAAGACAGTGTAGACCAAAACCCAAAAACTGGAGGTAATAAGAACAGATTAAAACTATAACCAAAGAACAAACATACTCTAAAAAGACAGACCCAAAAAGATTTACTAAACAGTTCTTAGGACATGTAAACTGATTTAAATGAAACTTTACCATGCATAAGAGTCCATGAATATACAACAAGCTGATATAAAAGAAAAAGTATTTAAAGAATATCCCCAAAGATAACAGTGTGCTCTTAGCTGTAATAACCTCTACTCTATAATCCTTATCTCCTATTACCCTTTATTAGACTTTTTAAATTTTCACAAAAGAGTGAATGTGTTTTCACAGAAATGGTGGGAGATAAGGAATCCTAGGGATTTGTGGTCTTCTAAGGACCTTCTAAGCAATTGGAATAAAATCTGCTGCTGGTGGTTGCTTTACCTGCTGAAACAACACGTGAGGTGTGGGAAATGTTGTGGCTTTGTTTCCCCCATCTAGAATTGAATTCTGCCTGTAGGAGCCAAGTGAGATGTGTGGTGTACGTGGAATTTGAGACTGAATTCTTTGCAGACCAAGGTGAAGTGAAGTTTACAGGAGCAGTGAGTGGCAGCAGGATTCTGTTACTTGTTTGGGTTTTGTTTCCAAAAAGCCACAGGGGTGTGAAACATGACTTAAGGGCTTTTCCACATCTCTGGCATGTCTGTGAATATTTTAAGTTATGTCATGATTATTTCAGGACTTTGTTTTCCAGTGAGTCTAATAAAACAAAACAAGAAAAAAAACCAAAAAAGACAAACTGTGGTCCAGGGTGAGATGACAAAAAATGAATTTTTTTCTCTACGTACTCTGGGACCTATTTAAGAGTTATTTATTCATTTCATGTGGAGTAATTATTTTTAGTGTTTTAAAAAGTATAAAAGCCACCCACCATCCTGACTTGAGGCAGCAAGTGGCTGTTGCAGTTAGTGGAGGTTTCATCTCTCTGTAGAATTTTTTTCTCTACGTACTCTGGGACCTATTTAAGAGTTATTTATTCATTTCATGTGGAGTAATTATTTTTAGTGTTTGACTTGAGGCAGCAAGTGGCTGTTGCAGTCAGTGGAGGTTTCATCTCTCTCTGTGAAGGAACTTACTGCAGGAAAATTTCATTTTTAGTGTAAAAGATAAAGAATAAAGCCTTTAATATATTTTTCAGAAAGCTGTGATCATTTACTCTCTTTCCAAATTTGACCTAAAAATATTTTTATGGTGTAGCAGCCTTCACCACATAACTTTTTTCAGTACCACAGTGAACAGTGTGTCCCTTGAGTGGCAGGAATGGTCGTGTTTAATATTAAAACACTAAATGAAGTGTCACCCTCAGCCTTCCCTTTGAAGCATGTCATGAAAATAAGTTGCCAGCCTGTAACAAAAGCAGGCATTGATGATCTTCATGCCTTTTCCAACCTAAAGGATACTGATTCTGTGTAGAAATTCCATCTTGAGGGATGGGTGTCCATGTTTTTCACTTTATCTCGAGTGACTATTCCTGTCTGATGCTTCCTCAGCAAAGGGTAATTATGCAAGGAGGATTGAGGAAGAGTGCTTTAAAATTTCAGCTGCTTTTGTTCACATCCTCTTAAGAGATTTTCTCCTGGTCACACACAGGCCCTTACACAATATGTATGCAGAAAGTTCAGGCATAATCTGTGAACTGGGGTGACCTGCCAGGTGTCTTCATTCAGCTCTGAGCCTGGCCTGGATCCAAGAGTGTGGACCTGCTTCACCTGGGAAAAAAAAGCAAAGGGATAAAAACAGGGATAAAACCACTGTCCCTTGCCTGGATGTGTCCAAGGCCAGCTTGGAGCAGCCTGGGATGGTGGAAGGAGTGGGATGGGATGGGCTTTACAGGCCCTTCCAACCCAAACACTCTGGGGTCTTTCTTTGCTTGCTGGGAGATTTAACCCTGGGCTGGGGTCACAGTTTGTGTTTTGGGTTGAATAGAGCATGGGGGCTGCAGCAGAACTGCACAATTTGTCTCCTTCTCCCCATGGTTCATGCAGTTCTGCCTGCTGTGAACAATCAGGTTCCTGAGGCTGCCAGTCCCTTTACAGAAGCCACTTGCTATTTTTATCAGGTTAATATTGTTCAGATACGTAGGAAGGCCATATTTACTAACCACCCAGATTTGATCTTTGATGAATAAAGGGAGGATGTGTCCCAGACTAATCTGTGAGCTGTGTTCTCAGTGAGCAGCTGGCTGAAATGTAAATGAAGAGCAGAGAAATGTGTCCTGTGAGGATGCACTTGGTGCTCTCCTTGCAGTCATTCGTGCCTTTTCCTTCAGGAGTTTTTGGAATGCCAGAAAATCACCATGATGCATGTAAGAATTTACACAGGGAGGCTTTGCAAGAATCCCAACTTGAGTTCAAAAAAGCCACATTACCCTTAAACCATGTAGTGGTTCTTGGGCTGGAAACTAGAGGAAGCTGAAATGTTCTGTGTTGGTTTCAAATCCTTGGTGCAGATTCCACGAGCCCCCTCAGCACTTTGGGGCAGATGAAGGTTTTTTTTAGCCTGTAAACCCACAGGCAGACTCTGCCTCGTGTTCAGAACACAGTGATGACTTGGGACATGTGTTTCAAAATTACCTCTTTCCAGTTCTTTGTCTTTTTGCTGTAATAGCACTGAGTGATTGTTTTTATTTGGCATTTCACGCTGACACCCAGATATAAACCAACACTTGTCTCTTTTTTGATCCCTTTAAAGCACTGCTGCAGAGGGTTCTCCTGGGCTTTTGGAGCC